TCCGTCACCAACTGCCCTGCCCTGCCTCGTAGGGGTCCAATGTTACCCCGAGACTTCTTCTTGCTACCTATATACTTGAAGAAGGACTTTTTGTTATCCTTAATCCCAGAAGCTAATCTAAGCTCCAGCGCTGCTTTCACCTTCCTCACCAGATCCCTACACGCTCGGGTCAGGGAGGTGTACTCCTCCTTGGTCCCTGCCCCCTGCTTCCACCACCAGTACGCCTTTTTCTTTGCCCTCAGGCCAGCCTGGATATCCACACTCAGCCTTGAAGGTTTCTTGGACCCTTTTCCCGCCTTCCTGTGCAGAGGAATTGCGTCCTGCTGCGCCCCAAGGAGAGGCTCCTTGAGGAGGGACCACCTTTCCTGGACCCCCAGACTAGCTACCCCCTGGGCTCCGAGTGCCTCCCTGACTACTGCCCTGAGCACAGCGAAGTTGGCTTTCCTAAAGTCAAGCATTTGCGCTGTGCTAGTTCCCCTCCCCACCTTCCTCTGAATAGCAAACTGGATCATTTCATGATCACTGTCCCCTAGCCTCCCTTGTACTAGCACCTCCCGCACCAGGTCGTCCCCAGAGGCTAACACCAGATCCAGTATGGCGTTCCCCCCCATGCCATCACAATGCAGTTGAAACCTGTAGGCTGCTGAGATCACTCCCTGTGAGACTACAGCAGGTTCTTTGCTACCTATGAAACACCCCTAGCAAAACTATGGGAGAGATCACGTTTCTCCAAAAAAATAAGGGAGTGGTTTGTTTAGGCAGAGGATTGAAAACCAAGATGCTTTCAAAGCACAATGCAGGTAAGAAAGAATGCAAAAGTTAACTAGGGGAAGTCAGTGAAATGAATGGCTTGCTAGGCAATGCAACATTTGGGTCTGCTTTGAATGCTCCAGATGATGTGAAGATGACTCTCACACTGAAGGAAGCTTTATAAAAATCAGCAGAACAAGTCAGGTGGAAGATGAGTGTACACCGATGGCATCTGGCTAGTCACAGGATTAGCAGCTATTGTGGTTTCCCCAGTAGCGCTGATGGAAAAATGCTAATACTTATGCTAAAGCATACAACGGAATTGGTTGGCTTGAGAGCTGAGCTTGCTTCTTCAACGGTAACCTGGCAGCCAGCTATAGCAGCGTATCAAACTTAGCAGTTGCTCAGTTCAGAACTGCTACACAAGAAAGGCACTCAAAAGAGGACAGTGAGAAATCCTTGCTACTGCAGTTCTTAAGATCTAGCAGCACTTGTAGCAATCAAAAACACCCCCCAACTCCCAAGCTATTGTATTAACAAACCCTCTACATAGCTGAGCCTTCAAGCAGCTTCTACACTGGAAGGTGCCGCAGGCAAGAGGAGCCTGCAAGTCTGTTATCAGTGTCACAATTCTTGTTATTATTTGCTCTGCGGTAGCGCCTGGAGGCACCAGGCATCGATCAGGGTCCCATAATACAAGGTACGGCACAAACACAGACTGACAATGAGGTTTCATGTGGAACGTGTCATTACCTTGTGACATGTGAGCATTCCCTAATTAACCTCTGGGTTCCTGAGAGACTCCAGAGGAAGGATTTTCCTTCTCTCCTGCAGATAAAAGGATCCGAGGCTGCACTTCATCATGTTCAGATAACTCACCGCTGCGTGGCAGAAATGAAGGCAGGGTTGGACTGCCCACGTGACGCTGCATCCCCCTCCCGTCTCCCCAAAGCCAGAAGAGGTGTCCTCCCGCACACCTGGTGTGAAAAGCTGGACCTAAACAGCTGCTGCCAGGTTTTTGGAGGTGGGACATTGCATTCTCCTTCCTTCCCCCATTCACCTCCTAATGAGTTGTGCAGGGCAAGCAAGCAGATGCCACCTGTCACAGGCGCCGGTAACATCCCGCGTGTCACAGAATCGGGCCCGTGGACCCACACACAAGGGCTGATTCTGCGAGACACACTCAGACACACCCAGAGAAGATCCAAGTCGGGCTCCAAAAAGTCATTAACCCAGCACTCAGCACGCCCAGGATGGGTCGGATCCTGTAAATCAGCAGAGCTGCACCGATGCAGGTGCAGATGGCACTAGGCTAGTTTTTCCTGACCGAAGGAACGGCCCGCTGTGTTACCAAGGCAATAGATATTCCTTGCCCTGTGCTGCAGCACCAGCTGGTGGTTACCAAGAGCTGTTCAAACAAAATCCATCAGCAAAGGAGAAAGGAATTCATTACCCTTTTGGCTTCAAAGGAAAACACGTCTTTGTAATTAATCCAAGCACATGCCCTCTCTTCCTATTCACTCCCATTTAAATAATCACAGAAGAGAAAAAAATGACAAGTTCCTTTTAAAAGAAGAAAAAAGAAATCACTGGTACTTAACAAGCATTTACACTTTATATATCCCTAATACTCCAGGGGGACAAAGAGGGCAGATTTAATTATATGCAAACTCCACTAGATCAAGAGAAAATAGTTAAAAATAGGAACCCCTCCCTCCAAAAAAGCCCCCTTTAATTCAATTTATTGAGCAGCATCTTTATTGCAACAAAAAAGGATTTCTAATAAAATGCAGCAAAACCTAAGGTTTCCACTTTACATGATTAAAAGCCATGTAATTAGAATGAGGGGAGACCCATAAACCTACCGGAGTGAGGCATGCCATTCCGTTAACACAAGTCAGCGCTTAAACAGCGGGCACTTCATGTTTTAAAATCAAACACCTGGACGTCTACTGTGCAGCACAAAGGAAAAACCATGCGAGGATCTCTCCTTTTGGAAGGACAGCCCAAAAGCACCATGGAGGGCACAGTGCATGTGTATTTATAGGGGCCAGGTACTCAAGTCAGTGGGCAATTCGAGGCAGTGTTCAAACCTGGCTGATTTGCTGGGTTAGTGCCTCCACAATGGTTGGTGTAATGCCAACAGCAAAACAGACTGCCGTACACAAGAAACACACGACAGAAAGAAACACAAGCAGTCCTTCTTTTCTGTTACAGGTCTCAGGACCCGGCTTACTCTCAGTGACCTTCTTCACTCGGAAATTTCTTGCTACACACACTACAGATGTGGCTCCAAAGGGTTAAACCTTTAATGCATTATCACATCCAGAAGGTTTTTCCATAACCTATTCCCAAATGCCCCTATTAGCAGGGAATATGTTTTCCATTTTAGTCTCATGACGTTAATTGATTTTCAAAGCCTTCCATGCTGATTCATATAACTCGTTTCATTAACAAACATTTGGAAGTTAATCGAGTTTATAAAAATCAAGCAGTTCTAGGTAGATACCAATTTTATATTAGAACTTTAAAAAAATTGAACATTTGGAAGTGTGAGAAAATGCAACTTATTACCCCACAGGCCAATATATTTCTTGAAAGAAAGTTTTCTGTGAGTAAAGGAAAACACCTTAGAAATGTGAAACCACAGAATCGGTTCCCACCGGAAGAGACTGAACAAGTTCTAACCGATGCAAGCAGAAAGGAAAAAACATATACAGGAATCCACATTCAACCACTTCAATACCTCCTTCAAAACCCCACACTTAGTATAATCCTCTAAAAATAAAAATGAAATGTGAATTTTTATCCGATTGGGTGTTAGGGTGCAAAGACACCTACTGCAATGAGGAGACTAACATTCAACATACACTTAAGGCCAATTTATCAGCATTCAGCACTGGCTGTAGTGCTGACCAGCATTCAAGTAGCTCCCTCTCAAATTCAAGGAGTCTACTCACCTTTGTAGAGTTACTCACTGCTTAAGCGCGCCCAGGCTCAGGTCACCAGCCACTTAGCAGAGCCAGCAGCCGGCTGCTGGGAATTCACCAGAGCTCTTGGGAATTGCCTGCCAGGAAGGTATCCAGGTGTCTGTTCTGGGGTGAGATGGTGAGATTTCCTCCCTCCTAGCAAGGAACAGTCTGGTCTCCTGCATTCTACCTTCCACCTTGAAATGCAACATCAGTGACAACTCAACCATTAAAAAAAAGTTAAAAAGTAATCCAATTTAAAGTAAATCCCAATATAAAACACTGCAGGCAACTCATTTGGAGTGAAGGTGCCATCAGCCTAATAAAAAGATGTCACAGCATTTGGAGTAGTCACCTCCCATGGTCCAAAAAACTGCAGCAACATGACGACGAACTCTGGACTATGCTGATAGGGAGACAGACTTAGTTTGCAAGGTGCAAAACTACTGCCCTTTGCAGCGACTTGTCCCTCCAGAACCAACCACAATACAACATTCTGGTTTAATGAGCAGCATCTCTGGTTTTAAAAGTTAGGGATATGCTCCGAGATGGCATTTCACCAAGCACTGCTCATGCACTATGGACTTGATCCTACCGTATTGAAAACAATGGCAATTTGATTTCAATCCAACAGACCTTTCATAACTTCTATGTATGGCAAGTATCCTTTGCACAGGACTACGAAATACTGATGAGAAATCCTCCCAGCATTTTCACAAGGTAAGAAAACATGGAGTTTTAAAGTGCCTAGCTGCTGTAGAGGACAGTAACTTTACAGGAAAAAAGCAATACATAATTTATGTTGCAAAATAGAGTACTTACAGTACTTTGTACTTTAATAGCTTTTGATATAGATATTTAAAATAAAGAGGATGCATTATTAAAAAGTTACACATTAGCACATTTATCACGGCCCATGCTAAATCAAAATCCAGATTAGATTGCCAGCATCACATTTAATTCCTCAGCTGCTTTAAGTAATGTTTCATGGAGGCTGCTTTTTTAAACAAAAGAATTGATTGGGGGGGGGGGTTGTTTTTGTTTGTTTTTTTTTTTTTTACTTAAAAACCATATACATTTATATTCAGGGATAGTCATATATAGAAAAAAAGAACCCCAAAGGAAAATTAATTTAACATTGAAAAAATATACACAACCTTGGAAAACATGATACCATTAGTATGTAGTTTTATACATATATGTATATATGGACAGATATAGATATATGTATATACAATACAGCATAAATATGTAAAGAACTAAGTGAAATTCCATAGTAACAAGTTATATTCCTTTATAATCACTGGCACACTGTTTTTTCAAGTTTGTCAATGTACCTGCTTGTCAATACTAACTATAACAGATACCAAAGGGCTGCTGAAAGGTCCCGGTTTTCGTAATGAATTACTTCAATTATAATAATTCACTGTTTAGGGAATTAAAAGCAAAAGGCTCACTGGGCTCTTTCCCTTCCCCCCACCCTCTAAAAATAAAAACCTTAAACCTATTTTCAATGTGCTTGTGATACAAATTTCAGAACGTTAACCATCTTTTACCCAATTCAACATTATTGCAATTGGGGGGGGGGGGACGGACCAGCAATGCATGTTTAAAGACTGTGAGTTTGCTTTGACCATCTTTAGCAGAAGCCAGTGGACCCGATTCTATGTTCTCTCTTGCATGTATTTTATACCCAGATTATTCAACTGACTTCAGTGGAGATCTTCCCAATTTATAGCAGCATAACTGAGGCAAAATTGCTTTAAATGCCAGAGTACTAAGGTCAAGGTGACTACTTATAGGCCTGGAAAAGTTATTAAAGTACATTCCTACAATATTTGGGGTATTTCGATTTTGAACACAAAAACACAGGGAGTGCAATTTTCAACAAACGGAAAAGAAAAAAAAAAAATCACCCTGCGTTTCCCTCTTTAGCACCAAAAGAGAAAGGAAAGAAAGTTCTTAGGTTTTGTGAAGGAAAACTTGAAGGAAAAAAAAAAAGATCTGAATCTCTCTCACAGACACTCCGGGCAAAATTTTCTGATTTAAAAATAACAATTTTACTACAGGTTTCTATTTTAAACAACAGCTTGAAAATTAGAAGGTTTTTTTCCAAACACTTTTAAAGTTGTTGGGTTTTTTTTTTTTGACAGCCAAGTCCACAGCACAGTTAAAACCATGCTAGCAAAAAATCGTGCTTTTATGTCACTTTAGACTGCAGAGAGCTAGCTGCTAGCAGGGTTACCTTATAAAAGCAATATGGACGGGGGGGTTTTGAGGACACAGCGGTACCATGCATGCTACACCATAGTGCTACAAGATGACCTAAGGATGGAGGAGTTCATACACGGGAGCAGAAAAACTGGGACTGAAAAACAGTGTTAGAATAATGATACCAAGAAAGGCAATAAAACAGTTCACATTGCTTCAGCGTACTGCTAGCAGACCCTTTGTCACCAAGTTCCCAGCCGAACTTTGCACTGGGATGTAATGGAGGTAATATTAATACCCACATGCTGAGCTAGGAAGGGAGTACTAGAAAACAGCTCCAAAATGCACATGGGGAGAAAATCCAGGGGAATGGGTTGGTGTTTTTAAGCTGATATCCTTAAAATCTGAAAAAAATGACAGATTTGGCTATTTGAATTAAAATGAGTTTGCTTCTCAGCATAAAAGACATTAATGTAAAACAGGTCTGTCACCTTCCCAGATGAAAAGGGGTCCAGCTAGTTGATCATATTGCTAACAGAAAAAGAAAAAAGACTGCACTAGATGGAGATGAGCTCACTGATAATAATAAAAAAAAATCCAAACAAACCATGGCTTGCTTTCAATTAAATCCAAAATTTCATTTCTTCAGGAAGCAGCTAAAAATGTGTGTGTGTGTGTGGGGGGGTGTTGTTGTTGTTGTTGTTGTTGTTTTTTTTAAAGATTATCCCCAATGCCTGGTTGTATGCAAAAGATGATTTGCTCCTAGCCAAAACCAGCTACATCCCTTGCAAGAAACACAAAGCTTTTAAAATAGGTTTTTCAAACCACATCAAGGTTGTAACCATCCAAAGAAAATCTTGCCACGAAGGGAGAAAAATCAATCGATCATTACCATGTTGTAAGAAACTGAGAAACACACTGGATAAAAACCACAACACATCAACTAGACTCACGCAGCTCGTAACAGGTTTAAAAGGTTAAGATCTGGTATTGTGAAAATGTGTTGCTAAGGTTTCAGCTCCTCCCAAAAGAAAACCCATGGTACTGCAGTATACCACAGACATACGATTTTATTTACAGGTAGGCTTTAAAATCATTAGGTCACTGTACTGTAGTTTCCCTGTATGGCACCGAGTTTGCTTTTGAAAAAAGTGTCTCCGTTTGCGTGCATGTGTGCGTCTCCGTGGGTGCGTCTGCGTGGCAGGCCCCCAAATGCAATGTTCCATTCGGTATTCTCCAAAGATCCCAACGGTTCCTCATTTGGTTAAGCAGCCAGTGTATCAGAGTTCGACAGAGGTTGTAATTACATTGCCTTCAGCGCAGCAATGTGAGAGCCTAGATTCTCTTGCAGGTAATACAGTAGATGGAGTTCATAATGCTCTCCAGACTCGGGTACCCTTATACTGTGTCTCTCCTGAGGGTAGATCTAAAGTACAAAAGAGAGAGTCGTGAGCACACGTACCATTGGCATACAGCAGCATGTGTACCAGCCGCCTCATACAGAGTAGTAACATCCCAGCAGCTCCGAGAGAACAGAGGGGAGTGTTGAATGCAGAACAGTAGTTCTTCATCCTTTCCATGCTCTGGCCCCTATGATATAGTGAGGACGAATGACCTGGCACTCCTCTTCCAACAAGCAGTAAAGAAAAGGAGAGTTAGAAGCCAAAAGCTGGAGATCTCCTCTACAAGAAACAGTTAGCAGTAAAAGTGAAACTCCAACTCAGTATTTGCCTTGAAAGCTTGTAGTTACAGTAACAAAATTAAACAAATGAAAAATGTTCCAAACTCCCCGAAAGGGAGAGACAGGAAGAAGGCCAGACTGCAGTTAGGCAATGGCTGTGCACTCTCTATGGCCAGAGACTGAAGCAGAGCAACATGTTATCTGGTGTCGAGTCTTCTCTGGCAACTCCTGTGCCCTCTTTTCAGCTGCCAAAGTGAAACCTGACAATCCCAGCACTCCTCTCCTCATGCACTTGTATTTATTGTGAGCGTACTGCCTAGTGTGCACACCCACATAACTACTGACTGCCTCTTTACGGTCCCAAACAAGTGTAAATACCAAAAAAAGGCCAAACAGCTACACCAAATGTTGATGCACACTTCTCTGTCCATCAGGACACTCAGTCTGAGGCATAAGTGGAAAATCTCCTATGCTGCAGCAGAAACGAAGATAGCCAAGCTACTTTTGTATGCACACCCTTGACACTGTCGCGGTCCTTACCTGTAAGTCGTACGGTTTCCCGGCCCTCACTAGAAAGCTCAGCAATATACTAGTGTGTGCAAAGTGAACGTTCTCATCCAAGAATCCATGTAGCAGCAGCAAACGGTTTGGTCTGAGAAAGACAAGATGCATGTATTGAGACAGCTGCCTGGACCCTGCAAGGCATTTTGCAATCCACAGAAATTCCTCTTTTTAGTTTAGAGGCAAGGATTTTTGTGGGTAAGATCTTCTATTGGATGAAGGTTCTGATGTGATGAAGGACACCCTGCATTCAAAAGCTTGTCTAACTATCACAACCACACAGCTGGTGCAATAAAAGGTATCACCCATAAAAATCCTTGCCTCTTGCATAATTCCTAGACATGACTACTATAACAACACCCCAAAGCTGCCAAAACAGAGAAGATACTGAACTCCTCTCCCTTTAGTTCAAGCATTTTAATACCAATGGCCCCATCCCGTAGACCCCACTCAGGCAGGGCTCATCATTTTTGTTTTCAGATCCCATTCTCTCCTTCCCTGGGAGCTTGTCCTGCACATGTGAATCAGGGCTGTGTTGCTATGGTCTCTAATAGACATTACATTTAAGATGTCATTAATCAGTTAATCATGTCTTAAGTAGTAACACAGTCACATGTTCATGAAGTTAATGGTGTGATAAAACAGGGAATAAGCTACAAAATTATTGCAAAAAATGTGTAATAATTCTGTGGCTGGGTCCCATTGTGCCATAAACTGAATGAGTGGCCAAGACCTAGAAGCACCAGTCCACCGATGGACAATCTGACTCAGAAGCGCACTGCAGCCTTGAAGGGCCGCCCTGCCCTCTCACACCTAGGAACACAGATCAGTTGACTGGCGCTCCCAGCCACGGGTGTACCGAGCACCTGGCTTACTACTTCCTGGTGCAGGGGGGGGCCTTGGCTCACAATCCCAGGCTGCCCTTGTACTGCCAATACAGCATGATCGGGATCTAAACCCTGATGCCAAAAATCACACCTCCTGCCATGCACATATGACATGGCGAAAGGCATGATTGTTGGGACTGTGGATCAGATCCCATTGCACCTTTAACTGAGTGACTGTCAGTGGCCTATATTAACTTTCCTCTCTCCACAGGTGAACAAATGTACTTTAATCTGCTTTCAGCTGTGGGGGGAGAGCTGCTGCTTGGGAGTTCACATTAGCTGTTACCATCCGCTTGTAACACCTGCAGGATCCTGTAGCAATACAAATGAGCTGAATGCTCCCAATGACCAGCAATGAAGCCGGCTTAAAGTTAGAGGAGTTTTTGCTGCACTTGAATTGCTACAAAATCATGCAGACCTCATAGTTAGGTCATAAGTTTGTATGGACCTCCTCCAATGTCAATACAATGGTTACAGCTGTCTACACTCTCAGAAACACTGTCTTGACTGGGTGCTAAACCTGCACCACTGGACATTAATTCTGCAGCAACACACATCTGTATCTCAGATTCTAAATACCTGCACGCAGATACGGGCCTGGGAACCCAGGAAAAAAAAAAGGCATTTTGATCCAATATTATTTGTCTCATTTAATGTTGCTCAGACTAAAGAGCTAATTATGTAATTGAAGTTACAGCTCCCATTTCTTGAGGTGTAAGAGATAGTCTTTAATTACAGCCAATATAAAACAGATTACTCAGAACGGCCCATAATTATGCAAATGCTCATTCAAGTTTATTAAGTGGTATTTTAAGCCTGGCATTTACAGTTTCGGCATTTAATTGCCGAGAACTGGGAAATAAAAATGCAGCTCTAGGTTTGAATCTCCTCAGTAGGGGGGAGGGGGGAAAGGGGGGGTACAGGGGAGCCACACTTACTCAGAAGGAAAATTCTCTGCCTGCATGGCCACCGATCCTAGGTAGTAGCCCTGCTCGTTGTGGTCCGGGTGGCCCATATAGCGCTCTGTGTAGCCAGTATCATAGAACATCCACAGTGTGACGGGGGCGCCCGCTATGGCAACCTGCAGATACCAAAAGGACCAGGAGCATAAGACAGGGAGGAGGCAGGGATGCAGGTACATGTCTCTGTGCCCATCCCCCCCTGCAGCCTTTACTGAGCAGTTTGGAAAACGACAGGGGTGCACCAAAAAAAAAAATTGTGGCCGATATCAATGGCCGATTATGAACTAGCCATATCAGCTGATACTGATCTGACAGCCGATATACAGACCAGCAGCTTGGAGAACAGCATCTGGCTGGTAAGTCTGTGTGTGGGAAGGGGTGTGGGAGGGGTGTAGACTGAGGTCCCCGTGGTGAGGGAGGGAGTGGGGCTGGGGTAGGGGTAGATGCTGCCCAGTCAGGGTGGAGTGGTGTGCAGGACAAAGCTGGGGGCAGCTTGTCCAGGGGCCGTGGGGAGAAGGGGCAGCTCCCTGCCCCTGCGTGCACCCCCGGGTGAGGCATGGGGGGCATGTGCCCCCCCAGCTTTGTGCATGGAGCAAGGGTGGGTTTGCCCACTGCAGGCTTGGGGTCAGGGGCTGCACCCACCTCCTCCCAGCAGGGGGGCTGAGCTGGGGCTGTGCTTGGGGCAGCTGGCAACAGCGCTGGGAGGGAGGGCTGTGGGGGGAGTGCTACAGGGAATTTTGGAGCGGCTGTAGTCCCCCCCCCCATAGCCCTGTCTCTTGGCACCACTACTGCCTTCCCCAAGCACAGCCTTGGCCCAGCCCCCCGCTGGGAAGAGGCTGATGCAGTCCCCGGCCCCAAGCCCACAGCAGGCAGCCTGCCCTTGCCCTGGGCACAAACCTGGGAGGCGTGTGTCCCCCAAGCCACCCCTGGGGGTGCGCAGTGACGGAGAGCTGCCCCCCTTCCCCACTCCCCTTCGCCCCCCAAACGAGCCATCCGCGGCTCTGTCCTGCACCCTGCCCCACCCTGGCTGTGCAGTCCCTGCCTCTGCCCCAGCCCCACTCCCTCCGTCAACGTGGGGGCCTCAATTTGCCCCGTCATACCCCTTCCTTCCCCCCGCCAGACTTACTGGCCAGATACTGCTCTCCAAGCTGCCGGGCAGCATTCCTGGCTGGGTGCATGCTGCACCTATGCGCAGCGTTTATCGGTGACATTACTGGCTACACCAGCCAAAAAAAAGCTGATTGCCGATAATGTCAATTTTCCTTGTACCAGTGCTGATCCTATATGAGCCAATATATCGGTGCACCTCTACAAAATGATGCAACCACCATTTGCAAACAAGGCGCCTGTTCAAATCTGTATGACCGGCATGGGGAAAGAAGTCCCTCACCTTCCCCCTGGAACAAATGGGGCCAAGATTCATGACAAGAGGTCCCTGCCTAGTGAGATCAGGGAGTTGCAACAGTTTACACCAGTGGGGGGGTCTGACCTCATAATAGCCTTTGGTCCTGTCTACAGATTGACTCTGATTCTGCTATCACTGTGCTGTGCTAGCAGGTTTGCCTGGTATGACAAGCCTGATATAAGTATTCCAGCATCTGCCTTGTGTGGACAAGGACTTTGAGGCCCTGATCTATACTGATATACTGTCTTGGTAACTGGGGCCCACTTGGTCTTGGAAGGTAAATGGACAAGCAAGGAACTACACTGAAAAAGGCAAGTTGGCTTTACTCAAACTGTTTAAGGTTAGTGGCTTTGTTCATTCCAACATGGGGTGGAAACAGGGAACAAACGCTCTCCAGCATTCAGCCCCACCTCCTTCTTTAGGTAGCCCCTGATTTGCATCTTGGGATACTCCATGAAAGGCAAAAAAGGACTCAACAGGCTAGCAATTTTTAAAGATTAAAAAATAATTAATATATGATACTTTTAAAGCCCACAAAAAGGCAATAATTAACCCATTCAGACCTGCTTTATACAAAAAGCAAGAGCCACAAAAAACAAAATTAATGCTTTTAGCTTGTGATGATAAATAATTAATAATATTTGACACTTCTTTTATCATCTTCCTTCCAGAAATCCTGAAGGGTTTGTGGACACATAAGAAATGAATCATGTTAAGTACACTGATAAAAATCATCTTTAACTAATAGAACTACAGCAATACAGCTGAACTGGTACAACTCCCCCTAGCGTGGACACTTATATCACTGTAAAGTCAATCTCCACTATTCCAGAAAGGCAGTAATCTATACTGATATATGGCACCTACACATACTTATCTATTAACTGAATCCACTGTAGGGGCTTAGCTGGAATAATTATATCCATAAAATCATAACCTGACATGATTATACCAGTGCAGACATCAATCTCTACACCAGACCTAGGTTCTTTGCAAACACAAATATGCCTCTAACGTAGAACAACTTCATCCCCGCATCATAGGCAAAAAAAATTGAAGTGGAAAGAAATGAAATGACTGGCCCAGGGTCACACAGTGAGTCATTGCTGTGTATTGCAATCCATGCTGAAGTTCAGTTTAAAAACACACTGCAGCAGCGGTTAGAAAGAAACAATGCTGTAATGCAGGGAATAGTCTCTCCGTTCTCTTGTATCCAAGTCCAAAAACTGGAAGTCTGATTAGAAATATTGCTTGGGCACACAGACAGCAGAGGTATAATCTGGAAATGGAAATTTCCTTTGCAGTGCCCTCCTTCCTTCTATGCTATAGCCACATAACTGCTTGTATTGGGGCTGGGGGTTGAGAAAGGCAGAATGTTTTGCACACACTCCCCTGTTTACAGTGCACACTTTTGCATCTATTTACCACACAGCAGATGGAGGTCTCACTCAAACTCAAGTAAGAAATGATTCTACCTGAGCCACAGAAAAAAGGACATGATACATGAACATACCCTGAAGATATCTGACCTCTGCATTAAAGCCATTAGAGATAGGTATCCTCCGTAGGACCAGCCATGAATGCCCACTCGGTCAAGATCGATAAAGTCATGTTGGGATGCCAGATACTGCAGTCCTTCCACCTGATCTTCAATTTCTATTTGACCCTGTTGGAAGAAGGGTATTTGTTGCTGTTGTTCTTGAAAAAACTAGGATTCTCAGAGTCTCCAAGGGGAAGGATCAGCATCACGCAGGATTACTACCTATTATCACGGCAGTGGTAACACCTTGGAGCCCCTATTGTGCCGGGCAGGGTACAAACACAGAACAAAAGAATGATCCCTCCTCAAGGAGCATTCACACAAAGTGCATATTAGTCCCCTCCTCCAGCTTTCCCAGTGATTGTGTTCTTCTTTGGGTCCTGAGGATGAGCAGAAACTTCTCAACCTACAAGAAGTGCCTGTACCATATTAAAGACAGAACCAGGGCTCCAGGTTTCAAACCAGTACAACTGCCCCAGCCCCTCTGAACGGATGGCTATGACTCCTGAAAAACAACACAAAGCAGACATTTCCTTCCTTGCCTCTGGCGAAGACCAAGCAGGTTTCCTCCTCAGACAGGCCTATAGGAATTTCCCTGCCAGATGAGGACTATAGGAATTTCCCTGCTCCACCTCTAAGCAGCCCATGCAAGAGGCTTCAGAGGAAGGGCAAGACCTGCTATCTTGAGAAGATCCAAATGAACCTGGCCCCATCAGCCAGTCAGGAGCTGGTTTACAGCTCTTCTACTTCATCCCTGGAGTCAGAAGCGGACCGGCCAAGTTTGCCGATGACACCAAACTTTGGGGCAAAACATCCACACCTGAGGACAGGAGGGTGATCCTGGCTGAC